TGGATCAGATTTATTCCTTGTGACCCCCAGAAATGAGGGATGGATCAGATTTATTCCTTGTGACCCCAGAAATGAGGGATTGATCAGATTTATTCCTTGTGACCCCAGAAATGAGGGATGGATCAGATTTATTCCTTCTGGACTCCCCTGGATCCCTGGCAGTGCCCAAGGCCAGGTTGGACACTGGGACAGTGGGAGGTGTCCCTGCCATGGCAGGGGTGGCTCTGGGGGGGATTTAAGGTCCCTCCTGACCCAAACCATTCTGTTTTTCTCAGATCAGAAAATCCCAGAGTTTTACAAGTTGTGCTAACTCCGAATTCTAACTTTCCTTCCTCGAGGACTCAAATGCTACAAAAGCTGCAAAACCCAACCCAGCTATTCCAGGAGCAATCTGGGATGGAAGAGCTTTTCTGCAGCTCCCACCTCTCAGAGATTTCAGGCTCATTACTCCAGAACTCCCCCTCTAAAGGACTCAAGGATCTATATAAAGATTTTTACAGAAATATTTACTTCTCTTCATTCAGAGATGACCGAATAAATAAGAGATCAAGAGAAAGGAATGTCCACGAGCTGCTTTATGATTTAGAAAGGCAGCTTGAATAAGTTTTAGTTCAGCTTCATTAACAAAAATGTGCAGTTCTTGTCTCTATGACAACTCCAGAGGGAGTGGAATGATTCCCTTCCTCTCAAGAGCCTGGAAAACTGAATAATTCAGAGAGGAAGAGATCCTTAATCAGACTATTTACAACTCTTTGGTTTTGTTAACACCTATTTAAAGCCAATGCCTACGGGAAGATTTTTGGAGAAAGGATGTCTTGTTTAAGACAAAACTTCTTTCCTTGTTTAGTTCAAGGGCAAGAGAAGTTCCAAAGGGACATTTGAGCACTCACTGAGGCTTCAGCAAATAAGACAACCAGACCAGATTTGATATTTGTAAGAAGAAGATAATTAGAAAATAAGTTCTTGATTTAAAAGCCATGTAGATCTGGGTGTGCAGATTTCCAAAGCAATGAAATAATTCTCCTCTTTCTCCTGTCAGAGCAAAATTCTGCCTTTAAAAGTCCTTTGCAGCACCAGAAAGTTTTTGTAATGGAATAAACTCCTTCTCAAATGGTTCACAGAGGAAAAGGGAACAGTTTTCTCCAGAGTTCTCCATCCCTGTGCTGCTTTACCAATTTAGAATGAAAATCAGTTTTAATTCTCCCTCTAGCACCAAAATCTGTGTTGGTCATAATATTATTAATGCAAACTATGAATAACGATAAAATCATGGAATCATGGAATGGTTTGGGTTGGGAGGGATTTTAAAGCTCACCCAGTGCCAGCCATGCCATGGCAGGGACACCTCCCACTGTCCCAATGTCCAACCTGGCCTTGGGCACTGCCAGGGATCCAGGGCCTGCCCACCCTGCCAGGGAACAATTCCTGATTCCCAAAATCCCATCCAGCCCTGCCCCCTGGCAGTGGGAGCCATTCCCTGTGTGCTGTCCCTGCATTCCCTGGGTGCTGTCCCTCCACACACGGATCCAGATGTGGCAGGGTCAAAGAATTTGGAGCAGGAACTTTCATTCCTGCTCAACATCTGGCAGTGGAATGAGCAGCACATTTGGATCTGGCTCAACTCAGCAAGGAGAGGCAGAAATTTCCAGTTCCAAGCTTTGACTCCAACTCCAACAGAACCGTCGATGTCAATCTTCATTTTTGTAACAAACCTTCCAGGTCTTGCCCAGGCTCTCCCATTAGCAGATTTATTACTAATTACTGTGCTTGGTAATTGTATTAGTCCAGTTCTACCAGAGCTGAAACCATTGAGCAATTTGAAATGAGGCTTTGAAACTGCCAATGACCAAAATGCCATTTGCTGGGACAACCCAGAGCCATTGGCCTCCTGCCCACCTGGGCACCCCTGGGCATATCTGGGCACCCCTGGGCTCACCTGGGCATCCTTGGGCACCCCTGGGCTCACCTGGGCATCCCTGGGTACACCTGGGCACACCTGGGCACACCTGGACACATCTGGGCATCCATGGGCTCACCTGGGCTCACATGCAGCCACTGTCCCCAGCACCCCCAGGGCCTTTGCCAGTGTCCCAGCCCCCCTGGGCCAGCACTGGAGGGTTCCCTGGGGTTGTGGTGACCCCAGGGCAGGAGCCAGCCCTTGTCCCTGCTGCCCCTCACCCCAGTGACCCCAGGCTGCCCCGGGGCACAGCCACACCACCCCAGCGAGCCCTGCATGCAGGTGCCCCTCAAACACCCTGGGCAGCCCCAGGAGAGCTCAGCCCCAGCCCAGTGTGCCCACCCCACACTCACCATATCTGTGCTAGCACTGGCTGAGGTAACCCAGATTGGAAAAAAAAGTTCCTGGCTTGGTCACCTGTAAAATAAACAGGAAATGGCTTCAGCTCCAGCTGCAAACACCTGGCAGAGGGAAGGGGGAGTCAGGAGGCAAAAATATCTGCAGAAGCCCAGCCCACTCCATGACTGATAATCATTTACAAAGCACCAAGAAAATTCAATGTAACAAAACAGAGTCAGAGGGACCAAAGTTTGATGAAAATTGATTAGGATCAGTGCAATTCCCTGATTTGGAGCTTTGCTTCCCACTGCTTCAATCAGTTTTGCATTTAGATCATTCCAAGAGGTCAACCATGCTGATGTCAGTGCTGTACAAATTGAATTTCTAAACCTGATTTCAGTTAAATTGACACACCTTTATTAAATCAGACCTTTTATTCATCACAATATTTGATGAATTTAGTGTGGTGGGCTGACCCCAGGCACCAAGAACCCATCACTCTTTTCCACAGCAGGATGGGGAAGAGAAAATACCAGAAAATACCAGAAAAGTTGGGGCTGATGTGGCAATACATTTCAACAATGGGATATAAAATAAGAAATACCTGCTCGAATTTTCTAATTATTATGTTCATATGTCACCCAGGCCGCTCTGTACACATTTAGGCTCACTAGTTAAGATTAATTAAACAAAATTCAAAGTGGAAAGTGTTTGTTTACCAGTGATAAATCCAGCAGTTGGTTTCAGACTATGGAACTGTTGATCATGTTTTGCTCTCTCCTCCACAGTAATAGCCCAGATATCCAGGTTGCCTGGTTCAAAAGAAATTGAGAAATTATATTAAGAACCATTACCTAAAAACCACCCTCTTTAATTTCTGGGTGTAATCATCTCACAGCATTCTGCAAACAACCCAAGGGTGGGAGATCCTTTGCCCCCAGAGCACACACAGCTGGAATTTGAGTTCCTTTACCTGCCAAAGCAGCTCCTCCCCCCCAAAATCCCAACTGACCCTGCCCACAGAAAAACCCTCAACAGCTGCAACCTTCAAATGCCTCCAGAGCAGATTCTCTGTCTCAGCACTGACGTGGTTTTGTAATTTTGGTTTTAATGTGATCTGTAGATCAGCTGCAAAACTCAGCTCCCATATGGATTCCCAGCATCTGGAGGGGCCTCCAAGGAATAGGGAAAGCTCATCAGAACTGAGAGACAGGACAGGGATGGCTTCAGACTCAAGGAGGGGGAATTTGGGTGAGTTACACTGAAGGAATTCCTGGCTGTGAGGGTGGGCAGGGCTGACACAGGGTGCCCAGAGCAGCTGTGGCTGCCCCTGGATCACTGGCAGTGCCCAAGGCCAGGTTGGACACTGGGACAGTGGGAGGTGTCCCTGCCATGGGATGGGATGAGCACCCCAATCCAAACCAGTCTGGGATTCTGAGATTTCATGTGAACAACAAAAATCCTGTCCCTGCTGCACTGCCAGGGCCCATCCTGGATGTTTCACTGCATTTCCAGATGCTGCAGCTTCCCCTGTTATAAATGAAGAGCTAAAAATTGTGTTATTTTTTGTCCTAACCTAAATGTGGGTGATGGGACAACAAAGAAAAACTGGAAGTGATACCAAAGGCATCTGTTGGACCTTTTAGCAACTAAGAAGTCCAGGAACCCTGAAAGGAAAAAGCATCTGCACTTGTGCAGTCCAAGAGGAGCAGAATGAGGTGGGGAGTGCCTGGATGTGCCCTGCAGGGACAGGGTGTGGGGCTGCCAGGGATCAGGGCAGCACCCAGGGCTCGGGGCTGTTGGCTTTTTGTGCCATCACAAAACTCTCACAAACATTTCCCTGGAGAAAAACCCTTAGGGAGGAACATGTTTGTGCCAGGGTTTTGCACACAGGAACAGTTCAGAACACACCAGAAACCACTTACCCCCAAAAGGTGTTGGAAACTGAGCCATGGTTCTGTCACTTTTAGCTTGTTAATAGATGCCTGGAAAAGGAAAAAAAAAAAAAAGAAGATATTCAACACAGTATCTTCCATTTTCCATATATTTTCTGTATGATTAATTACTACAGAAAAAAAAAAAAAAAAGCAGTGAAGAAGCAGGATTGTATCAATACTTCCCACACCAACTGGGACTTACAAAACTCAGTCTCTCATTTTTGGTCTCATTTTTGCACTTCTCTGTGCATTTATGAGGAATCTTCCTCCCAGCAAACAGCCACATTTCAGTTGTGCTGTAAGAACGGCCTCAAAACCAGCCTTTAGCTCTAAAGATTTATTTATCAATAGCCAGGGCTGGAGTGAGAGCAGAGCTCAGATGCCAGGATGCTGCTCCAGGCTCCAGGACTTTGCTGAGTGTCACAAGCCCTGCTCAGGAGGGAAATTGGCTCCATTTCCAAGCAGTGAAACCCAACATCAGCCATCTGGATTTTATTCCTTTCTCTAACCCCACATGCTGAAGGTGAAAGGCCATGTCCAGGCTGCTCTGGCCCACAGCTGAGGAGCACCAAGGGCTGAAGGAGCTGTCCCAGGCTGGGGGAGCCTCCAGGAGAGCAGCACTCACTGTCTCTGCAAACAAAGCAAGCACACAGCCTCCAAATCTCATGTGGACACAGAAAAGGAAAAACATTTTTCTTGCTGCACACAAAGGCTGCCATGAGCTGCCTGAGCCAAGGGACAATGAGCAGCACAACAATGAGCAAGGGCCTCTTGTCCTGTGAGATTCCACTCGTGTCCTCCAGGCAACAGCAGAAAGGCAGAGGGGAACACAAGCAGGAGAATCATTTAGGCTGCTTGAACAGCAGCACAAATTTATCAATATCCCTAAGAAAAGGCATTCACTTGCACCGACAATTTCCTTTTGTCCGAATTCCTGTTTGCTCCCCTCCCCATCCCCCTTTCACACTTCCCACATTCTCTTCTGGCTTCCAACTTGGGAACCTCCTCTGGATGCCCTCCCCAGATGTCCCTGCACAAACCCCTGGCACTTCTGGCAGCCAGGCTCCCCAGCAGTTGGAATTTAGGGAATGATGGACACAATCCTGACTCTTTGTCCTCATCGTTTGGCCAAGCAAGTGACCCCAAATCCTTGTGCCCAAGGCCAGGCCATGGACAGCAAGTGTTACCCCCAAAATTTCAAATTCCAGGTGCAGAGAGCCAAAGAAATGTTCAGAAGGAGCTCCCTGAGGTGTGGGGCTCCCCAAAAACATTCCTGAAGTGCTGAAAGATCAGAACTTTTATCTTTGCCTGCGTTTTCTTATTCTGTTCTGCTGTGGGAAAGAAGCCAGCAATGCTGAAGGGGTTTATGACTGTAAGGAAACCCTGAGGAAATAAATAAAAAAAAAGGAGGAAAAGGAGGAGGAAAAGGAGGAGGAAAAGGAGGAGGAAAAGAGTAAAAACAAACAAAAAACACCCTCAAACAAACAAAAACTAAAACAAAACCAAACTGAACAAAAAAATCCCATCAACATAAAAACAAAACACAAAAGAACCCAACAAAAAAACACACAAAAAAAAGAAAAATAAAAGAAAAAAAACCAAAAGCAGAAGTTCCCCCTCTCACAGCCTGGGCAGTTTCCATATTATCTGTCCCTTTTCAGCACAGGGGGAAGCAGCAGAACATTTCCAGTGCTCAGCCCTTGAGGGAAGAGCCTCCACACACTGCCAGGATTCCAAAGGAACTCAGTCCCCTTTACCTTGCACACAGGAGGAACAGGAGAGGGAGGGGGAAATCTGAACATCTGTGCTGGATGCCAAGGAAAGCAGAAACTATTCCAAAGAACTTCCAGAGGGGAGAAAAAAAAAACCAAGAAAAAAGCAAGAAAAAAACCAAAGGCAGATGAAATAACGATGGGGGAATGGAGAGAAGCAGCAGAGAAGTGTGTTTAAATGTGAGAGCCTGAAACCCAAACCAAAGTCAACTGTGCACAGAGAGGGAAACAAACTGAGGGAAAGCCAAATCTCTCTTTTACTGGAATGTGCTGGAGTTTATTGCTGCTGGATCACCCAAGTTCCACAAGCACAGGTTTCACTGTGCATGACTCAGGTGACACCAGGGGCCCCAATTCTCCTCCCAAAGCTCCATCCTCACCCAAGCTGCTCTGAGATTGTTTTTGGGGTTGAACAGCTCAGGGCTGGAGAACAGGAATTATTTATCCCCAAAAGCATCTGGCACAGTTGTTATATTGTAAAATATCATATATAAAGTATTATAAAGCAAAAAAAAACAGCA